TTAAAAAGTGGGCACTTGATGTAATATCGGGATTTCGATAAATGCACTTTTCTACTTTGCCTGTAGAATTAAAAAATCCAGCTGTAATAGGCAATTGTGGTGCTACTTTTTATTAAATATTTGTGCACGAAGCTAGGTAGAATGTTTACATGTCAAATCAGAATTCTTACCCTTCAGGGCCAAATCATTATGTTTGTCCCCTTTAAAAGGAGCTTCGAAGAATAGACCTCCCAGTTCTGTTTTCTAAGTTTAGGGACACAAAATGGCTTTTAATTAAAGTTGTCTTTGCTTTTAGTTATCCCCATTTTTATCAAAATCTGTTCCATCACTTCTCCAAGTGCCAAGTCATCCAAACATGTTTCAAAACTAAACCCCCACCACATGCCGAGTCGAGCATTGAGGAAACCCTCTGAACTTTGTATCCGAGGCAAAGATACTTGGAGTCTGGCTACAGAACGACCTTCGATTGGAGAAAAATATCAATGAAAGTTCCAAGAAAGCCAAAGTTCCAAAAAAATTGTATATGCTCCGCCTGCTTAAGTGGTTTGGATTCAATGTTGATGAGCTCATATCATTTCATAAAAGTTATGTGAGGCCTGCTGTTGAATATGCTGATGTTGCCTGGTCTTCCTCAATTACTGCTGCCCAGAAAAAAAACTCTGGAACACCTGCAAAAACGTGCGTGCAGAACCATTTTGGCAGAGCGCTATGCCTCATAATTATGCAGATGCAATGCAGCTCTGCGGGCTTGAGTCTCTTGCTAAATTGTTATCAAAACCTGTTGTTCCATCCGCAAAAAGGTTAAAAATAAACCTTTGCTTTTAAATTGTATCACATACTCGACCACAAAAAAGTTATTCCGTTGAACATCTTCATTTCGGCATAAAATTTCCCCAAAACACTCTGCCTGGTCGGGGTGCATCAAGTCGATTTTGCTTTTTTTCCCCTCTAATAACCCCTGGAATTTTCAGGGATTGTACCCGAAACTGTATAAGCCATACCTGAGTCCTCTGAATTTTAACAAGGGCATTATATTTGTGTAAACGACTGGGAAGTAAGAATCCTCAAATTTTCCAAACTTGTACATTTGAAAAGCGGGCGGTGGTACGTTTGATACCATACGTCACTCGGCTGAATACGCAGTTAAGAGAATAATAGTGTAATTGTATTGGTGATTGGTTTAAAACAAAATACATGTACATGTAGATGCCTTGTCGCTGATAATGGCGCTCGCCTTCGGCTTGGGTCATTGTTGGTGACAAAACGCTTATAACTACCTACTCATTAAACTATCACTCCCATTTGTAAATACCTTTTTGGTCAACAGCTGCAAAAGGTAAAAAAAAAATCCCAAGGTTTTTGTTTGCCCATGCACTATTGTAACGGTATACATGTATTGCTGTTCATGTTCGGAGCCATTTCTGTTAACAGAGCATGTGTAACTCATTTACCACGAGTTGCAAAATTTATCGACATCATGTGAGGATTTCATACATTTCTTTTCAGCCATATTTATGGTGGCTTTGAAGGGACATCGCAAATCAAGAATACTGACGTCAATGTTCACGACATTCCCCAAATCGCGAATATGGACTTTAATATTCGTGTCAACAATTTCACGTTTCGCTCTTCGTTGGCAAATAGCGGTCGCAATTTTTTCCCAGCAAGCTAGGCATGTTGACACGTTATGTCGATACACTGAGGTTAACCTGTAGGCTTGATCCCGTGTCGGTAATTGGCTGGGATGGGTTTGCACAGTCTACAGTTAGGTCAGCCATATGTCACGTGACACATTTGTCTGGTTCCCAGACTTCGTGACTATCTAGCTTGCAAAAAAAATTCCAACAAAAAGTTTGCGACCGAGAGCAAGACAAGTCGTGATAATATGTTTTACGCAAATATTGACGTCATTGTTTGCGACCGGATATAGTCCATGAGCCAGGGGCTGAAATTTCACATATTGGTACCATCTCAAGGGACTAATCGCCACTATGATTTTTCTTTCCTACATGTGTATAGATGTCAGAAAAGTATGATAGACTGTTGTAGGTGGTAGCTTAATGTGGAATTTGGGGCATGTTCTATCAAACAATAACAACAAACTTTATTTTACTCCATAAAACACTTGCTTGATATCTTCTACGGCATCCCAGCATTAAATAGTTTCAAAAGGTTACAATTATTTCACCTGTATTTGGCTAAACACTGTATTGAGGCCACCTGCCTAATGTGGCCAACATGTCATTGCATGTCATAAGCTCATAAAAGGGAATGTACAACATAGCTTTTCCTGTGATTTTCAGAAGAGCTGTATTGGGGGGGGGGGGCGGGGGGGGGGCGGGGAGGTTAAGTATTTTATACTTGTATGAAGTTTTGTGTTCATAGATACTGGAAAACCCAAGAAACAATCATTTTCTTGTAGTCTGGTTCCCTGACACCTCTTTAAATGAAACACAGCAATTTATAGACGCCAGGGAATTGTATGGTCAGGGAAACAGTCCAGCTGGCATATACCCGTTCAAAGGTGTGCAATCGATTGCAATCAAAATGTCGACTAACTAAATATGGAAAATTGGGGGCAGTAGTTGGCGGAACACAGTTTTTTCGACCAGCGTTGGAAATTGATACAAAATACATGTACCACTTTTCTTGAAAATGACAGCAAATCAGGTGCCATGGGTTTTACAGGGTATGCTTCACTAACAGTCAAGTACAATATTTCATAGATATTTGGTAGTTTTATTTTTGGATGTTTGCAAATCTTGTATATATTCCCTTTAAACTGCTCACTTTGCTTTTGAAACTGCACTCGAAGACTACTGACCCATGCGTGTTATTTTGATGAAGCGCATTGCAGGCTGCCGGGGCAGATATAAAGGGAGGCAGTTGTTTTTCTTGGGGGGGGGGGGGGTTGGTGTAGAAGGTTCATTTCAAATTAGCTTTTGAGTTGCCAATGGCCACATTCTACAGGTTGATGGTTGAGGTGAAAATGTATTAAAATTGGTAAAGAAGTCGAATGTGTAATCTTAAAAGAACTTGTCCATTTTGGAGGGCTGAATTTTCTGAAAGCCATGGTTGTTTCCTTGTACTATAATTGGCAGGTTTTATTTTCATGAAACTGTAACTATTAGATCATGACAGAGATACCTACAAATGGCTTACATATCTGTTATAAAAATAAGTGCACATGTATTTCCATAAATTTGCTGCACAGAAAATGTGAGTTTTCATGGGAAAACAATTCAGTAATTTTTGGTCTTCTTGTCTTCTTGCTACTGCTGGTATTCTTATATAGGTTTTCCCGGCCAATTTTGCAAAAATAGCATTCGAATTCATCTTGATAGGGGCCAATTTGAAGCGGGTATAGCGCCCTGCTGTCATTCCCGTAGTTCGTATTAGATTTCAGGCGGTCAAATTCGTTTAAATACCTGACATTTTCATGTTTAACACATCCTAAATTGAAGTTATGTCAGTCGGTTTAAGTGATCATTCAATTTAGCAGTCGGTTTGATCAAGGGTTATTTGCGTGAGATTCTTTGATTTCTTTTTACATATCCGTGCATTCTATTTAGCACTTTTTGCATTTAAAAAAATAAATAAAACGAAGGCATACGACGCGAGTCTTTTAATTTCTTCCACCTTTTTTTTCTGCTTTTCCGTTTCATTTTTTTCAAAGTGTCTACTATCTGTCTCTTTCTTCTAAAGAAGTAAAAATGTAAACAACTTAAACAAAAAGGGGGCGTCAATAAACATATATGTATATATATGAAATAATAAACCTATAGGCAACAGTAAACTTCAGTGGATCTTCTGTTTTCAATTGTGATCTTGGTCATATATTTGTTTATATCTCTTAAACTTTTTAGATGTTTAATTATCTTAGAGTCCCTTTTTGTCTCTCTTTATTTTGGAATGATGAGGATACTGTCTCCTGGTACAGGTCTGTTAGCCATCGATCTCTTGCCGTGCCAAGCATCTACATTTGAAATTCTCATATAACGCCCATGAGCTGCCATGTTGATATTTCTAGTGCTTCAAGCTAACAGTGTGCACGGTGATCAGAGTATTGGCAGAATTTTGTTGGAGACAGATTTTTATATCCATACTTCCAAATTGGAACAAGGGCACTCCATCTAATTCTAACAAACAACGTAATGACATAAACCTATTTCGAATTCATTTGCTTACTTTTCACAAATGCCTGCCTAATGGTGAATTTGAATGACCAAACTTACACAGCTGGAAGCTCCGGCGAATTTGGATGCTCGTTTGTACAATTTTTATTTGAGTGCCCTGTTGTTAAAATTGCATAGTTAAAATGTGAAATCGCATGCTCCAAATGTTAAATTGGTTGGTGTTTTTAGCTATTAATTGAATGTTGATCTCAACGTGCATTCAAATTCGTGCGAAAATGAGTGATTGGTCACCAATTTGGCCGCCAAATCTGCTAACTTGGCCGGGAAAACCTATACCTTTATAAATGTAATAAATATAGTATATTTTGCAACCAGATGGAACTTTAGTTCTTTCTACATACTGCAATAGGGCTTATCTGATTTAATTAACCACCAAACCCTCCGAAATGAGCTTAATAATTATGAACATTTATTAACTTAAAAATTGTGATGCCTGTATATCACTTTTGATTCTGATGAAACTCCATGACAATCATTCAAGTTTACTCGAATTCAGAGTCAGAGTCTGTATTTGAGTTGTCATAAAGACAGTCCTGATCATCTTTGTTGATTTAATTGTCACAATGTAAGTTGTTCCCTTGTTGACCTCCTCTGTTCTGTACTACAACCTGCCAAATCTTCATCACTCTCAACTTTTGACATGCAGTTCATGTTCATGTAGTGAAATAACTTTTTTTTCAGTGTAATCAATTGAGAAATTAATTTTCAAAGATTTCGCCCGCCAACGTGAACATGTGTGTGTACATGTAGTTTCATTCAAAATAAAGTGTTATGTAACCTTTAGAAATCGCCCTTAGCAGCCACATGACTGTTAGTCTATTTCCAGCGCGGTATATGCACTATAGCTGTAATAACATGAAAAACAATCTACATGGTGTAATTTAAACGTGTCTTGCTTACACTGTACTGACCATGTTCACGGACAGAAATCATAATCAGCAGTCTCAGGTTTCAGTTCAAATCTTCAGCTTGTTCCTTGGGCCTAATCAACCCTGTTAAGAAAAATGAGAGTGGGGGTTTACGGTGATATACCAACTCCAGTCCACGGGGACTGTGCCCCTTTCAATTATTTCTCGTTTTATTCAATTTCTTTTTTAATTATTCCCCGGCTTTTTCAGGAGCAAAGAAAACCCACGGGTCTGCTGCAGCTGCTACCTCTGGTGATTTTGTTGCTTTGGCTTTCAAGTAACCATTGTGTCGCTCAAGAAGAGCCCACAGACTCAAACTGTTGCAGTGCTTGCTTCCAAGGCCCGGCCGGAACACCAGGTGTTCATGGAATCCCAGGAAATCCAGGAGGAAACGGGATCCAAGGACCTCTTGGTCCCAAAGGTGACCCTGGGTTTGGCCTTCCTGGACCCACGGGAGAGACCGGTGTCCAGGGACGGAAGGGAGATCGAGGCGAGCCAGGGATGTTGGGACCTCCAGGGAAGCAGGGACTCGCAGGTCGCAACGGAGACATCGGTGAGAGGCAGAAAGGTGACAAGGGGGAGCCAGGGATCCAGGGACCGCTAGGTCCGCTTGGTGGAAAGGGGCAAAAGGGCCAGCCAGGAGATGCTACCCTTGTCACACCAACACCACCCTCTGCCGTCGCATTCACCGCTTACATCACGTCACCGGTTTCAGGATATAGTGATGATCAAGTCATCATCTTTGACAACATCATGACGAATCTGGGCGGTGGGTACGACTCGCAAACGGGATTGTTTACCTGCCTGATACCCGGGGCCTACTTCTTCACGACCAGCGTGCAAAGAATGCTATCATCTAGGAATCCTTTCGTACAACTGAAACATAACTCGGCCTTAATCTTTACAGCGTATGACAACCACCACAACCATTACCACCAGTCCAGTAATTCAGCAGTTCTTGTTTTGACCAGAGGAGATAGGGTGTGGCTTGAGGTAGGGGATGGCAATGGTATTCACAGCAGTACCAACCGAGATTCTTCTTTCTCTGGCTTTCTGATCCAAGCAATGTAACGGTTGCGCAACTATAATTATAAACATCCCCGTGTGAATATTTTCTGAAACCAATTGAGCCTCATAATTATGTTTAGACGCACTGATTTAGGAGTGGTTTTGGCCGCATGTTTGGAAGGGGTGTCTTATAAACTAATCAAAAGCTTTGTAAACTTATCGAAGAACAGGAGTAAGAGCAATGTATGGTCAACAACTGTGGTCTGCAAACAGAAGTAAATATTAAAATCTGGTTGGTGTTTTGAAGGTTTAGTATTGACTATGCTATACTCTGCCCCTATCTGTTTCTGGCCTCTGCCTATTTGTGATATTTTTGGTGTTTCATTAGAAGTATTTTGAAACCAAGCAATGGGTTATCCAGTGGTGCGTTCCAGTTTACGCGAACGTGTTTGCGCTCGTTACGCTAGGTCCAAACCCAAATGGATGGTTAACGCAAACTGTTTTCAAAATGGCGGCCCTGTCTGCAAGTCGTATATACAAGTGACACTGTTTGGATAGCAGCTTGCAAATATTTGACAAAAAAAACATTGTGACTGGAAGCGAAATGTTGCCAGTATACAATGAACTTACTGCGGATATAGAAAACGGAAAATTTCAGCTCCAACAGTTGTATACGTTCATTAAGTTGCTAACGGCATGTTGCTAGCGTCCACCAACGTCAGCCAATGTTGGTGATAAACGGTCGGTCTCACTTGCGCAAACGTTGCCAACGTTGGCAGCGTTAGCATTGTTCGCGTAAATGAACGCACTCCAAGCCAGAGAGAAAGTACGCCGAAAGATGCTGTGACGTCATTGTCAGGCATTAACCACGCCCATTTTACAAGATCTGCTCTTTCAGATAAATTTCATTTCGTTAGAAAGAATATTATATGAGACTTGTAGGCTTGTATGGTGGACATGAACAAAGAATGGAAGGTTTGCGGTAACACCACGCGAATATCTTTTGAGTTGTGTGGTTCTAAGAAGAACCAGTTGTTTTCACTGTGTATGTTGGTTTTAACTTGTTTATAATCTTCAAGAGAGTAATGACTTGCGAAGTATTCCGTATACTGATTAATCTAACCTTTGTGCCCAAAGAAGCAAACGAATGACTCATCATGTCTGGTCATTTTTTTTCACAACTAAAGCAATGTAGACCTATTAACATACCATTTCCCCCTATTAACATCCACCTTGTCAATGTAAAGTTATATAGGGCACCTCAACATTAATGTTGTTTTTAGATTGGTGCTCATATCGCGCAAATAATGTACACACAGATGGCTATTGCATGGTCGCTTTAAAAACACATTATAAAAAAAAAGCATGCTGTTTGACAATTTTCAAATACAGACACTTCACTCAATTCGATTGAGTATGTCCTCTTGTTTTAATAAAAATGTAAAACAATTTAAACTTCTGTGTAAGTGATGCATTTATAAGTCATGAGCATGGCAAAAGCTGCCAATTAAACGCTATTTATAGTTCTAGAGAAGTCATCTGAACATTGTAAACAACTGAAACGGCCTTTTACCCTTTTTCAGCAAAGAAAATAGCTGATGGGTTTACAAGAACGAACCTTACACATGGACTTATTGTCTACATGCTAGAAGGTCTCAGTGAGATTATGCAGAGCATGCCGACTCGAAGCTGCCATGATTTCGATTAATAAGAAACAATCCAAGAAAAACACGCGAAACAGACCGCGCTCCTAAAATTTATGCGAGTGTTTATTCCAAAATTAAATACTAAAGCTGAGACATTGAGGGCCCATGGTAATTCGGGCGATTCACAATGCAGTGCGCCACCAAGAGTTTGCCATGGAGAGTTCATTTTTCTCAGTGCATTGTGGGAGATGGTCGACAAATTCGCCGCGCGGGACATTTGAAATTGTTCGTTTTTTTCCGGTCAGTAGTTTCGTAAGCGTATGATTCGAGGATCTGTTTGCCCTTTTCTTTTCTTCTTATCAATACGGTGTTTTTTGTAAGGCGGCAGAACGCTATGCCCCAATCATTAACATATTAGCTCAATTTTTCTACTGACTTTCATTCAAATGGGCCATGTTTTGTCGACCGTAAACTTGAACAATTGACTCTCCGTGGCAAACTCTTGGTGGCGCACTGCATTGTGAATCGCCCGAATTTATTGACCATGAATGTATCCGTTAAATGTTTTCGTCCATGAATGGACGCAAATTAATTCAATTCAAGCCGGTCCTAACACCTCTATATTTACCATGACTTAGCTAGGCCTAGTTCATTTTTCTCAGTGCATTGTGGGAGATGGTCGACAAATTCGCCGCGCGGGACATTTGAAATTGTTCGTTTTTTTCCGGTCAGTAGTTTCGTAAGCGTATGATTCGAGGATCTGTTTGCCCTTTTCTTTTCTTCTTATCAATACGGTGTTTTTTGTAAGGCGGCAGAACGCTATGCCCCAATCATTAACATATTAGCTCAATTTTTCTACTGACTTTCATTCAAATGGGCCATGTTTTGTCGACCGTAAACTTGAACAATTGACTCTCCGTGGCAAACTCTTGGTGGCGCACTGCATTGTGAATCGCCCGAATTTATTGACCATGAATGTATTCGTTAAATGTTTTCGTCCATGAATGGACGCAAATTAATTCAATTCTAGCCGGTCCTAACACCTCTATATTTACCATGACTTAGCTAGGCCTGCATGGACCATTCACAATGGCATTTGTACTTGATGGCTATTCCGTGGTTTCATTATTTTGTGTTATTCTATTACTGTACTGATGGATTCAGTATTTCATCGAATCATGCACGCGCGCCCTAAATCATACTCACGTTTCTCTCTAACGACCTTATACTGTGATTATTATAACTACCAATGCCAAAATGACACAGCCAGCGTGTAATGCATAACCTCTGCTACATTAAATTATCATACCAAAACGTTGCGACAGGAATTCTCGAATTAATGCTAATGTGATTTGGCTAAAGCACTAAATATGGTCAAAAAATGCTCCAAGAATTCGTCCACCGAAGAATGAGCAGTCGAGCACTGGAATACGCTGTATAAATACAAGGTTTTTATGGTTAGGCGGGTAAAACCTCCGTCGATCGCAGTGACTCCTCCACGCTGGTATCAGATAGTCCTCCGCTGGACATAGTTGTATACTTCTTGAAACGGAAAATCTCGTTATTTCCTTTGGAATGAACAAAGTTTTGTTCGAGAAACGGAACAGTGAGCTGTTACGCCTCTACCTCAGCCTTATTCCCTGAATATTCCGACACTGGTCTCACGTTCTGGGAGCTGATCTGCCTGAAGAATCAACCACGATGGCGTCACTGGTAAGGTTATTTTTCTCCCGATTCAAAAAAAGTAATTGACGAAATTATTATAAAAAAGCTTACTCGGTTTAAAAATAGTAATGGCACTAAACTCCCCGTGAAATTGTTCTTTCTGACATGCTGTCATTTTGAAGAAATTAATACAAGAAAGCCTTTTCGTTCTCACGAAGAGACGGGCATGTCAAAATTGACAATTTTTTTGGATTTCGAGTATTTTCAATATTTTGCTTTAAAACATGGTACTTAAGCATTCTGACATGTTTCCGTAAGCAAAACATCATTAGTTCCTGAATAACATTAATGACGTCAGGGCAGGCATCTCGATAATTGCATTTTACGATTTCACGAAGAGACCCGAACATGCCTGCCCCCGTGAACACGAACAAAACGTATTACACGGAAAGGCGGTAAAAAAGTAGGTCAACGGAGATTTTCGTTTTCACGAGGGGAAGGGCATCTTGTTACATTCTCAGCTGCGCGCGCGAAATCGAACACGCGCACCCTTCCCTGTGGAAAAGCACATTTAATTAAACAAGAAGGGCGTAAACGTGGAACAGTTGGATTTTCGTTTTCACGAAGGCACGGGCATCTTTACTAATTAATTTTGGCTAATTAACACTGTATTAATTATAATTATTGGTTACAATCAAAGTTTATCTATCAAAGAATTACGTCAAGGTTTCCTTATTGCATAAACTTTTTGCAAACGTCATGCATATGCATTGCAGTGGCTGCATATTATGAATATTCGCTTGAAAACGTCTTAGTCAAGTCTTTAGACACAGACTGACCATGCCGCGCGGTAGTACATGACTTTTGCATGAATGGTTGTAACGCTCACGTTGCATGAACGGCAGTGGCATGGTATGCGGATTCTGGCGCTGGTGACGGACATAAACCACTATAGTCTAACGACTTGTCATCAAGTCTATCACGTTGCATTAACGGCGGTGTCATGCGGATTCTGGCGCTGATGACGGACATCAACCACTATAGTCTAACGACTTGTCATCAAGTCTAATGCAGAAACTGACAACGAGTTATTCAAGTTATTGCAGCACACGCATGGGATCGCACACGCATGGGGTCGAAAATGTACGTAGCGTCCCCGCTACTAGGACAGCATGCGGTACGTCGTACCCCCGGCACAGAGCTTGGCAGTCGCGCGCGGCGGACGGGATTAAAACCTACGGAAGTGTATTTAGGGACATGACCAAAGAAACATTTCCGGCCCTCTATTTTGCCGGGCGGATTACTATTTCGCCCGGACGGATTACTAATTCGCCCGGGCGAATTATTATTTCGCCCGGGCGGATTATTAATTCGCTCGGGCGAATTACTATGTCGCCCGGGCGGATTACTATTTCGCCCGGGCGGATTACTAATTCGTCCGGGTGAATTAGTAGTCTGCCCGGCCGGGAGAATTAGTAATCCGCCCGGGCGGAATAGTAATCCGCCTGGGCGAAATGCTAATCCGCCCGGGCGAAATGCTAATCCGCCCGGTCGAAATAGTAATCCGCCCGGGCGAAATAGTAATCCGCCCGGGCGAATTAATAATCCGCCCGGGCGAAATATTAATCCGCCCGGGCGAAGTAGTGGGCCTAAAAAATATTTTCGGTCATGTCCTAAATACGTTTCCGTAAAAACCACTCATTACAGACTTGATTTCAAGTCTAGTCCCTTCGTGAAACCGGTGACAAAGTGACGCATTGCGGTTGCTACTATTCGTCAGTTCAGTGCGTGACATCGCTAGCTGCGGCAATCAGCTGAATGAGAACGTGTCCGGACGCTGATTTTGGGCGCATATCAAAACAAGACTCTTCAAGTTTTGAATTGAAACCAAGATCCTAGAATATTGTATTCTCGGAATGTACAGCATTCACTGAGCTAACATCAGGTTAGTTGTTAAGCACTCTTTCTATAGCACTTTTGTTGCTTCAAACGAAAACAAAAATCACAAATGACAAATGATCTACCCTACCTTTAAACGTAACATGCAACATTTTGCACACATTTAAAAAACCTACCAATTTTCTTTGAAATACCTTATTTGACTGTAAGTATAACAACCTCAGGCATCCTGTGCAATCACGGCACCTGGTGCGCTGTCACGTTTAAGAGAAGTGGGATTTTTTTTTGGCAATTTCCATCAATTTCCAAGATGGTAGCCCGATCGCACCATCGTTTGAAAAAAAACCTTACTATTTTCATTTACCAAATTTAGTTAATCCACATTTTGTTTGTAATGGATTACACATCCTTGAACGGGTGCAAGCCACAATGGCTTGTCAACTTTGTACTTTCTTTCTAAAAAATATCCTCCTAGCCAAGATGATTAGTCACATCCATAATTTCCTTCTAAAGAAATTCTCCTAGCCAAGATGGTTAGTCACCTCCATAACTCCCTTCTAAAATATATCCTCTTAGCCTAGATGGTAAGTCACCTCCATAATTCCCTTTAAAAAAAAATCCTTCTAGCCAAGATGGTTAGTCACCTCCATAATTCCCTTGTAAAAATATCCTCCTAGCCAAGATGGTTAGTCCCCTCCATATTTTCCTTCTAAAAGATATCCTCCTAGCCAAGATGGTTAGTCACCTATGGAGAAGGATTAATCATCTTGATTAGGAGGATATTTTTTAGAAGTGACTAACCATCTTGGTTAGGAGGATATTTTTACGAGGGAAAACATGGAGGACACTAATCGTCTTGGCTAGGGGGATACTTTTAAAGGGAGGTATAGTTGAACTAACCAACTTGGCAAGGAGAATATTTTTAGAAGGAAATATGGAGGAAACTAACCATCTTGGCTAGGAGGATATTCTTTTAAGGTAGTTATGGAGTGGATTAACCATTTTGGCTAGGGGGATATTTTTTAGAAGGGAAATATGGAGGAGATTATCCATCTTGGCCAGGAGGATATTTTTTAGAAGGGAATTATGGAGGTGACTAATCATCTTGGCTAGGAAGATTTTTTTTTTTTTTTTAGTAAAAACTAATGTGACCCTTGCTGTAATTTTGGGCCGAGTATAGATCGAGGCAGTCGGCAACAACAAAGTATCTCAGTTTTGCTGGTTTAATTCTGTGGGACGAAGACGAAACAATGTTGGTGAGTGTACGTCAAAAATCAGTATCAAGTAAATAAGTTAAAAGTAAAATAATAGAAATGAAACAAATAGAATATTTAACACTCTGCAGTTCGTGCCAAAATTACGGCAGCGGCCGCCATCTTGAATTATGCATCGGTTATAAGCCAAATCAACGTAAATGATTCTAACATAGGCCTAATAATGCAAATACCGACAAAATCATCATTTATCCGATCTCTTCAGTAGTCAAAGAAGCAAGTAACTTAAGAAGGAATAATTAAATAATCGGAATAGTCCTGGAGGTGATAAAGATGGAGATGGGGAATTGTCTCTGGGTGTGTCATGCTTCATTACTGGAGTGAGTACTGGAGGTGACAGTGAAGGAGATATCGTTTCCATCGGGAAGAAAGCAATGTCTATCTCTTCATCACTGGTCTCGTTGTCTTCCATGGCTGACTTGAGGACGTTCTTACTTGTATCTGTTTTCACCTTACTTGAGGCATACACAGACGTTTCGTCCTCCATCTTGTTATCCTCTTCTACGGGGAGAAACATGCATGGAGTGAGGAGATTCCTGTGCACAGTTCTCTCTTTGCCATCGTCAAGGGAACGGACGGTGTAGACAGGTACGTTTGTGTGTTTACTGATCACGACGTATTATATAAGGCTGTGGCTCCCATCGGTCGGCTAATTTGCTGGTTCCAACTAGGTGTTAATTCTGAATCAGAACCCTGTCATCTGGATGTAGAGGAGCTACTTGGGTGCCTCTGTCGTACAGACGTTTCTGTTTTGCCTTTGCCTGTCTGACGAGGTCGCTGGCTCTTTTGTAGGTAATGTGAAGTCTATTTCATGAGCTGTTCTGTGTATTTGTCGTATGCGGGTGTGTCTTGTTCCTTTGCTTTCAGTCCAAACATCAGATCTACTGGTAAGTTGGGGTGCCTAACAAACATTAAGTAGAAAGGGGCATATCCTGTGGAGTCATGGCGAGTCGAGTTGTATGCGTGAGTCATCACTCCGACGTATTGCTTCCAGTCTTTCTTTTGGTCTGCTTCAAGTGTACCGAGCATGTTCAGTAGTGTGTGGTTGAAGCGTTCGGTGAGACCGTTTCCTTGAGGGTGATAGGGGGTTGTACGACTCTTTTTGATGCCTGAGATTTTGCAGAGTTCCTTGATGAGCTGGCTTTCAAAGTTTCTACCTTGATCGGCGTGAATTCGGACTGGAAAGCCGTAGTTTTGTATGATCTTCTCCCAGAGTACCTTTGCGACTGTGTCGGCTTTCCTGTCACGCGTCGGGAATGCCTGGGCGTACTTGGTAAAATGATTTGTCACTACCAAGATATTTTCAAAGCCGCCTTTGCTTCTCTCGAGCTTGAGGTAGTCTATACAGATAAGTTCCATTGGCTCACTGGTGTTGATGTTGACCAAGGGCACTCGGGTTTTGGTGGATGGAGTTTTTCTAAGACAACATCTCTTGCAGCGTTCGCACCATTGTTTGATGTCTTGTGCCATCTTTGGCCAGAAGAAATGGTTTCTTGCCATGTCCAGAGTTCTGTCATAACCAAGGTGGCCGAAGTCGTTGTGTAAACCCTTCATAACGACGGTCTTGTATTGTTGAGGTAGAGCAAGTTGTTGTGTACTTGAACCATCAGGTGTCTTCCAAACACGATGCAGCACACCATCTCTCATCTGAAGCTTCTCCCACTGTCGCAGGTACAGGAGACAGCCAGGCTGCTCACGAGACTTCTCAGCTGGAGTTGGCTTTCTACCCTTCTCCAAGTAGTATATTACTCTGGAGATGTCTGGATCGGCTCTCTGACCTGATATCAGATCTCGCTGCGTAACTTGAGGTAGCTCATTCTCCGCGATTGGAGTGTGGCTTTGTGTCATGACGTCACATCGAACAGCTGGTGTTTCCATAAAAGGATGAGATACCGGTGGATGACAGTTACAGGGCCTGGACAATGTGGGAAGTGATTGTGATGGCATCCTTCTGGAAGGTATGGGAGTGTCTTGAGATGTCGGCGTGTGGCTTTCTGGAAAGTGCGTCGGCAGCAGCGTTGTTCTTACCGGGCTTGTACTTCATGTCGAAATCGAACTGGGATAGAGCAGCAACCCATCTTTGGCCTGTTGCATCTAGTTTGGCTGAGGTGGTGACGAAGAGTAGAGGGTTATCATCCGTCAGAACTGTGAACTTGTTACCCAGGAGATAGTCTCGCAGTTTGTCGGTTATGGCCCACTTCATCGCTAGGAACTCTTGTTTGTGTGCAGGGTAGCGTGATTCTGCAGGGTTGAGGCTTCTGCTGATGTAAGCAATCACTCTTTCTGTTCCATTCTGCATTTGGCTAAGGACAGCTCCCAATCCTACCCCTGACGCATCCGTCTGCAGTATGAACGGGAGTTCATAGTCGGCGTACGCAAGGATTGGGGGAGACGTCATGTGCTTCTTCAACAGATCCATGGCTTTCTGGCAGTCTTCCGTCCAGATGAATGGTGGTGTTAAAGATGGAGACTGTCGTTTGGTTCCCCTTTTCTTTCGTCGTGGGTCACCGGCTGTAATACGCTGGTACAGTGGAGAGACTATCTGTGCGTACCCTTTAATAAACCGTTTGTAGTAGCCTGTGAAGCCAAGAAAACTTCGCAGCTGTTTGCGGTTTGAAGGAGTTGGCCAGTCTACCACTTGTGCGGTCTTGTCTTGATCAGTGGCAACGCCTTTGCCTGAAACGATATGGCCAAGGTACTTCACTTCTTCTTGAAGTAGATTGCACTTCGAAGGCTTAAGCTTCAAACCATGCTGTCTGAGACAGGAGAACACTTTGCCGAGACGTTCAATGTGCTCTTCGAAGTCCGCTGAAAAGACGATTATGTCATCGAGGTAGAGTAGGCAGGTGACATAATTTTGTTCTCCGAGGCAGGCCATCATGAGTCGTTGGAAAGTGGCTGGTCCGCACCTGCCAGTAGCCTGACGTAAGATCTAGCGTGGTGAACAGGCGAGCTTTGCCAAGGGCATCCAGGGCTTCTTCGATGCGAGGAAGAGGGTATTGCATCGCGTACCGTCTTGTTGTTGAGTTGACGGTAGTCGATGCATATGCGTAGGGAACCATCCTTCTTGTGTACTATCACGATAGGGGAGGCGTAAGGACTGCTGCTCCTGCGAATGACATTTGCATCTTCCATTCCCTTTAGATGATCCTTTACTGCTTGATACTGGGATGGTGGGATTCGGCGGTGAGGAAGACGGAAGGGTGGCCATAAACGATGAACAACAGATTGCTCTTTGAAACTTAATTAATGTCACTCTTCCGTCTTACCATAGAGCTAGTCCGAGTAACTTGGACCCAACTTATCGCCTTTTTAACATTCGGACATGGTCTGGCGATAGTAGGGTCCAAGCTAATCCTTATATGCCGAGCAACACAATTCTGTCATTGACTCAAAAACCCAACAATACCCCCCCCCCCCAAAAAAAAAAAACCCATCAGATTTCACCCTCAAAATGGCCTCCAAATGACTAGAAATTTGATTTTTAGCAAATATCTCGGCCAATATTGCAGCTAATGTTGACAGAAGGGTTTTTGATAAGCAATAATGATCAAAGTTTATTTTAAGCCATCATATTCAAAATAAACTTTAATATTGGCTGAAATTGAATATAATATTGGCTGAAAATCAATTTTTTGATAAACCGGCAATTTAGAATTTACATATGTTCATGCCAAAGACACACATAGTTACTTCGTGAATGGTCTTCTAATGATACCTGACCCTCATAACATGGGTTTAGACACCTTACTTGTGTAGTTAAGTGCAATATTGGCCGAGATATTGGCTAAAAATCAAATATCTGATAAACCGACACTTTATAATTTACATATTTTCATGCCAAAGACACACATAGTTACTTCGTGAATGGTCTTCTAATGATACTTGACCCCAAAAAACATGGGTTTAGACACCTTACTGGTGTAGTTATGTGCTATATTGGCCGAGATATGCCAAAAACATGATTTTCCGGTATTAGCGGCACTATTTTGCATATTCCTATGCCACAGACACATGTGGTCACTTCCAAAATAGTTTTATTGTGATCTCTGACCTTGAAAACATGGGTTTAGACACCTAGTTCGTTCAGTTATCTGCAATATTGGCTGAGATATAATTAAAAATAGATTTTTCGGTAATGGCGGCACTAATTTGCATAAAAACAATACGTGGGACATTTTTTGAATTTTTTAACATAGCAAATCGTTTTCTACGCATTTTTTCTGACCTAGAAACGTTGATTAGAAATTGATTTCCGAGGGTGCACGATACCCCCCTTTTCCGACTGAACTATGTACCTCAGGTGGCGTATCTAGTAATTTGGAGGCCGTTTTGAGGGTGAAATCTAATGTTTTTGTTGGGCAATGTTGGGTTTTCGGGTCAATGACAGAATTGTGTTGCTCGGCATATAAGGATTAGCTTGGACCCTACTATCGCCAGACCATGTCCGAATGTTAAAAAGGCGATAAGTTGGGTCCAAGTTACTCGGACTACCATAGAGCAAGGACTCTTACTGGCCTTCAGCGGGCAATTTTGGGACAAATACAATGTGGTACACGGTATGTAATCAGACGAAAATTGAATTCGGCGAAAATTGCGCGGTCTATATCATGGAGCAGCAGTGCTCATTTACTACTTTGCGCGTGCTCTTGTAGTGCGCAATTCTAACATGTGCGAATATAATAGTTGCCTGCTAAATTTGTGCTGCGCAAGATTCCAAAAAACTGCGCGCGATGCATTAGCCTGGCTCGATGCGTACAGGCATGAACAACTTCTCGACGATTTGTACACGTTCACGTTTTATTTCACAGTGAATTTTCACTGAAAATGAAAGCAGATTTTTAAAAGATATTCAAGGAGTTGTTAAAAGTACCAGGAATATATGAACGGACTTTCAGCTTCCAACATTAGGTAAAAATAGTGGAAAACAGCTCTTGAAATGTTGTTCGCATTATAAAGGCGGTTTATGTCCAGAACGTCAGTAGTAGTGGTGGTGCAACGGAGATTGACATCCTACCAGTGCTATGCACTCGTACGGTCCCACTCGTACAATATCCTCGAGTCACCATAATCGGCGCAGGTAACGCTTGCGACGCGCGCGCGTTGTCCAACGCAAATTGAATGAGAGTGCGTCAAAATAGGAGCGTCGTTTTAGGTGGACAGACGATACACGCAAACGGGCACGCACGTGACGTAGGACGTGTTTAGACACGTTGTTTGCAGGAGTCAATTCAATCATGACAGTCAATTCTAAAGAAGTTTTAAAAGACTTACCAAGTTCTAAAAACTCTTGAAAATCTTCTCTATAAGGGACGATCTTCCGAAGGTTGCTACCACACGCAAACTCTTGCAATTGGCATCTTGTACTTTTATTGACTGTGCAGGAACACGATCATGATGATATTCCGCAACCGAAATCCAGAACGCGAAAGCGCGCGTAACGTTCGCCAGCGATATCCCATAATTTCTTATCGACCAATCAGAGGGCTTTATTTCACACACGCATGCGCACTAGGTCAAATTTAACACCAAAAGTTCGTAACACCAGTACTTGATTTGAAATTAATGCTTCAAGAATCATTTTACTCCATTTAAACACCAATTTTCATTCCAAAAGATTTTAAAAACATTGGTGAAAACAGTTTTTGCAGTGTAGATGAGCGTATCAGATCTCTGCGGTCCGTCGGTCTTTTCAAGTCTTCATACAAGCAAGCTTTTATCTCCCATAATGCATCTTAGCCTTCTCTCATAATTGAGTATACTGGGTTTATTTATTCCTCACATATTATAAGTTTTGTTTGTTTATCTTTTTTTTTTGCTCATACAGCCTTTTGACATCTTTTCATCATTGCCTCTGTCAACAGTATATGTTCCTTGTCTCGTGTCTGCTTACCATTGTAATGTCTTTGTTTGTTTGCTTGTTTGTTGTTTGTCATGTGTTGTTTCTGTTGGCTGTTTTCAACAAGCTTCTGCTTATTAAACAGCCCCATGCTCTATTTGCCTCTTTTATTTTGCTGTTAATTTGATGTTCACTGCTGCATGGTTTAACCCTTTGTATATATTTTTTCTATGGAAATAAATGTGAAGTTGAATTGAAGAATTAAAATAATGAGCTTGGTCCTAGGGCCCAATCAACCCTGTTTAAAATGAGAGGGGAGTTACGGTGATACACCCACTCCAGTCCACCGGGACTATACGCCTTTTCATTATTTATCAGGACATTTTATTCAATTTCTTCTTACTTTCCCCCGGCTTTTTCAGGAGCAAAGGAAACCCACAGGTCTGCTGCAGCTGCTACCTCTGGTGATTTGGTTGTTTTGGCTTTCAAGCAGTCATTGTGTCGCTCAGGAAGAGCTCCCAGAATCAAGCTGTTGCAGTTCTTGTTTCCAAGGACCGGCCGGAACACCAGGTGTTCCTGGAATCCCAGGAAATCCAGGTGGAAACGGGATCCAAGGACCTCTTGGCCCCAAAGGTGACCCTGGGTTTGGCCTCCCTGGACCCAAGGGAGATACCGGCGACCAGGGACGGAAGGGAGATCGAGGCGAAACAGGGTTGCAGGGCCGTCCGGGGAAGCTGGGACCTGCTGGGAAGCTGGGACCTGCAGGTCTTGAAGGAGGAATCAGTGGAAGGCAGAAAGGCGACCAAGGGGAGCCAGGAGTCCAGGGACCGCAAGGACCGCCTGGTGAGGGGCAAAGGGGTCAGGAAGGAGGAAAGGGCCAGGAAGGAGAAAAGGGCCAGCCGGGAGCAAAGGGCCAGCCAGGAGGAAAGGGTCAGCCAGGAGAAAAGGGCCAGCCTGGAAGACCTAGCTCGGCTTCACCAACATCGTCCGCTGCCGTCGCATTCAGCGCTTACCTCACAACAAGTGTCTCAGGAAATCGTGGTCATGTTATCATCTTTAACAACATCATGACGAATATCGGCGATGGGTACGATTCGCAATCGGGCGTGTTCACGTGTTCGATACCCGGGACCTACTTCTTCACGACCAGCCTGCAAAGAATGACACAAACTAGGGATCCTTTCGTACAACTGAAAAAGAACGGGGACATTATCTTTTCGGTTTATGACAACCACGACCATTTTCACCATCAGTCCAGCAATTCAGCAGTTCTTGTCTTGGCCACATGGGATAGGGTGTGGCTTGAGTTAGGTAGGGATGCCACTGGTATTCATAGCGGTTACAATAAGGATTCTCACTTCTCTGGCTTTCTGATCCATGCAATGTAACTCAACTACTGTGGAACATGCCCGTGTGAATATTTCCTGAAACCAACTGAGCCTTATTATGTGTAGACTCACTGATTTAGGAGTGGTTCTTGGCCAGATGTTTGGAAGGGGGTGTTTCATAATTTAATCTAAAGCTCTGTAAACTTATGTAATAACAGAAGTGAGAGGAATGGTCAACGACTGTGTTTTGCAAACAGCAGTCAATATTAAAATATGGTTGGTGTTTCGAAGGGTTGGTGTTGACTATGCTATACCCTACCCCTGTGTGTTTGACCTCCGCCTACTTGCGATGTTTCATCAGAAGAATTTTACAACCAAGCAGTGGGTTATCCAGTGGTGCGTTCCAGTTACGCCAACGTGTTTGCGCTCGTTAGCTTGGCCATGCGAACGTGTCAACCCGAAATGGATTGTCATAAAAAAATGCTTTCCAAATGGCGGCGCCCTGTATTTCAATCCTGTATGTCAATTAAGTATCGCGGTTTGGATCGCAGCTTTTGAAATCTTGGAAAAGATTAATTGTGACTGGAAGTGAAATGTATATACTTGTATATTGGAACTTACCAACCCAACTGATGTAGAAACGGAAAATTTCAGCTCCGATATAAGCATACGTTCATGAAAATTTAGTGTGTCGGCCATTTTGGGAAACATAGCGACTGACCCATGAGAATGCAGGAAGACCGTTGGGTTTTGTTGCCAACGTTCCCTAACGTTGGTGGCAAATAGTCGGTTCCTCTGCATAAACGTTGCTCACGTTGACAAACGTTGGCATTGTTATCGTAAATGAAACGCACTCAAAGCTAAGGGAAAGTATGAGGTTGCTGTGACGTCATTGTCACCATAAACCACGCCCATTTTACAAGATCTGCCTTCAGACAATTTTCACTCCACTTTTTCACTTCAGTGCAATGTGGTTATAATCGGGAAAACGATTTTTTTCACACGCTGATAAATTGTTGCTTTCATGTTGTACCGCACATGTAATGTATATTGCATGATCGCTTTAAAACACAGTAAAAAAACATGCTGTTTGACGACAAGTTGTGTTTTTTCTTCAAAATACAGACACTTCACTCTACTCCATTGAACTGTTCTACTTTAATGTTTCAATAAAAAAATGATATAATTATAATTTTGATCTGATCTTAAAGTGATAAATTTACAGTCACAAACAAGGAATGCTGCTAATTAGACGCTGTTCTTTAAAGTTTTAAAGAAGTCATATGCAGATTGTAAACAACTGAAACGGTCTTTTTACCCTTTGGTCAGCAAAAATAGTTTACATGCCAGAAAGTCTCAGTGAAATTCTGCAGAGCAGTCGACTTGAAGCTGCCATGGTTTCGGTTATAATTTTTTTTTTTTAGGACAGTTCTCCAAAACAAAACTATAGGCCTAGTTGCTATACAAACGAAACAGACGCTCTCCTTAATTGAGACGTTCAATGCTCCGAATTGGAATTCCGATTTATGCGAGTGTTTATACCTAAATCAAACAAGCCGGGCTGTTTGTGCCAAAGAAAATTGATGACCAGGAATGTAGCCTTAACTTTTGTCGTAAATAATAGGCCTAACTGTAATTCTTGCTGTTTCGGTGTTTACCAATGTCATAGCTGGAGGCCTAAATGGGTCCTTTTTATGTGAGTGCTTATAAAGGCCATTCCATGGTTCAGTTATTTGCATATTTTATTTACTGATGGATGTACATGTAGTATTTCGTCCAAATAGCATACCTTTCATCGTACCGTTAATACTCTAACTCTAACGACTTCTGATTAGAACTACCGACGCCAAAATACCACAGAATGTAACATATAACCTCTGCTGCAGTCAATTATCATTTCAAAACGTTGCGCCAGGAATTCTCCAATTAATGCCAATATGATTCGGCTAAAGCACTTAATATGGTCGAAAAATGCTCCAAGAATTCGTCCCCCGGAGAACGAGCAGGAAATCGCTGTATAAATACAAGGTTTTGTGACTGGGCGGTTAAAACCTCCGTCGATCGCAGTGACTCCTCCACGCTGGTATCAGACAATCCTCTACTGGACACTGTTGAATTCTTCTTGAAGCGGAAAATCTCGCTATTTCCTTTGGAAAGAACCAAGTTTTCTTCGAGAAACGGAACACTGAGCTGTTAGGTCTCTACCTCAGCCTTATTCCCTGAATATTCCGACACTGGTCTCACGTTCTGGGAGCTGATCTGCCTGAAGAATCAACCACGATGGCGTCACTGGTAAGGTTATTTTGCAGCCGATTCGACTTAGTCCAGTAAGAATTGGCATGAAAATTACCCCACCCTAACATTTTAGTTAATTGATATTTTTACTCAAAAACCTTTATACGGTTGCCATGAAAACACACAAAACTTATTGGTGTTTCCAAATACAAACATTGTGAGTATGTGTGTCGGCAAATACACTCCAAAACGTCCCTGGTCATATTGACATGGAATCCGGGTTCTGTTTGCCCTTACCCTTTCCGGCCACAATAACAGTTTTCAGTGTAACAAAATGACACTTTTTCTGGTCATTTTTACCCGGTAACTTTGGGGGAAATTTCAAAATTATTTTGACCCGCAAAAGTATCATTTTGACCCGGAAAAGGGCAAGGCCAATTAGAACCCGGATTCCAGGTCGCGTATTTGTTTTTGCAGCATACATCGTTTTTTTTAACCAATCACATCACGCACCCTAACATGAATATTTATCACGCTGTGTGGATGGAAGGCACTTAGGTTCTCGTAATTTTTTCCCTTCAATTAAACTTATCCCAACCAACAAAGAAATATTTGATGAAAACGGGCATGGGCTCGAACCACAGATAGTGCGTTTTATAGTTCACTGCACTATCCACTAGGCCACAGTCTGTGGCAGCTTGACGAAAGCCGTCATTTGAAATGCTTGAATGTACATGTCTGAGTGATAGTAATAGTGTGACGTCATTGTTATTTCCTTATGAATTAACATCAAACTAGCTGAATAATCATGATCCATTGTCGATGTGTGCTGCAAATAAAAACACCGCTTCCGGCGTAAGGCCAAAAAAAAAGTCTCCGGTTTTTGGTATGCGCGCGCGTCGCCGTAGCCAAAATGAAAAAGTTTTTTTTTTCAATGAAAGATGATGTCTCAAAACCGCCAAACTCACTGGTTTGACTGGACTCCTGCTGCTGCACAATTTTAACGTGTTTTAATATGGGGTTATGATCGAGAATAAGCTTTATGTGGCCTCTCTGGACTCCCATATATTTGCACTAAGTTTAGTCGGGCACCATTTGCAGTCATCAGCCGACATTTGAAGCAAAAAAAAAAACAGGTAAAAAAAAAAAAGCCGCGTCGCCGCACCACTTTTTGGGCAAGCTCCATACCAGAAACCGGAGACTTTTTTGGGGGGCCTAATCTGACCAGGGATTTTTTTTTTATTAAGAGTGTATGCCGGTGTAGCGTGAATATCCGGCTCCATGAAATATGGACTCATTGGTAGTATTGCGCATGCCTAAGTACGATAATATACCATTTTTAGGATCATATATAGGAGAGTGACCTGTCACGTGCTAGGGATTAACCAATGATAGGGAAAAGGAGTCCGATTTCATATAACACCGTAACGAGTAGCGCCACCTTTTACCCACTGACCGGTAGCGTATAAGATCGTCCGCTTTGAGCAGTCATGGTGTCGCACCACGCTTTTTGATTTGGCGACGTTCGGGTGACGAAACAATTCCTTGCATATACCTTCCAGCACGGAGGGTCTGCACTCTACAATTCACTGGAAAAGAGTTAGGCCAGATAGAACACGGATTTAGGGTCAATCTGTCCAAGGACTTTTTAGAGCGTCTTGCCAAATTTACTGACGCACCACATTCAAATCGGTCTGGCGATGCCCCTATCCCCAGGTCTGTACAGGCAATATCAGGGATATTTTGGACCACTGCACTAGTCTTGTTTATGTTTCTCTAATCTCCTTTGTTTTTATTATTATCAAATACCCTATAGGTGAAAAGAAGGCCTACCGTTATGTTTCTTTTGATTCTGCTGCTTTGGCTCTCCAGCAGTCATTGTGTCGTTCAGGAGGAACCAACAGGAGCAACTTGCTGTGGTGCTTGCTTCCAAGGACCGGCCGGAACACCAGGTGTTCCTGGCATCCCAGGAAATCCAGGTGGAATTGGGGTCCAAGGACCTCTTGGCCCCAAAGGTGACCTTGGGTTTGGCCTCCCTGGACCTAAGGGAGATACCGGCGACCAGGGACAGAAGGGAGATCGAGGGGAACCAGCGTTGCAGGGACCTCCAGGGAAGCAGGGACCTGCGGGTCGCAACGGAGACATGGGTGAGGGGCAGAAAGGTGACCAGGGGGAGCAAGGGGTCGAAGGACCGCAAGGTCCTTCTGGTGAAAAGGGGCAAAAGGGCCAGCCTGGAGAAGCTACCTCGATTACCCCAAGAGCCCCCTCTGTCGTCGCATTCAGCGCTTATCGTACGACAAGTGTCACAGGCGGTGGTGGCGATGTCATCATATTTGACAATATTGAGTCCAATCTGGGCGATGGGTACGATTCGCAATCGGGCGTGTTTTCATGCTCGATTCCCGGTGTCTACTTCTTCACAGCCACCCTGCAGAGAATGTCATCAGTGCATCCTTTCGTGCACCTGAAAAAGAACGGGGAGCGTATCTTTGGGATCTATGACAATCATGGTGGTTACCGGCATCAGTCCAGCAATTCGGCAGTTCTTGTTTTGGCCACGGGGGATAGAGTCTGGCTTGAGTTTGGCAGCAGTAACAAAGGTATTTACAGCAATAGCGACAAGTATTCTTTCTTCTCCGGCTTTCTAATCCATGAAACCTAACGGAAGTGTGGAAAGACTTCACTTGAGTATTCCTGTTTTTGATCTACTGTTGCTTGCATTGCAGAGGAGTAGTTCTTTGCTTCATCATTTTCCCCCTATATGGACTGATATAACAGAAAGTGCCTTTCTTGCTCTTCAAAAATTCATACTACCAGAGACAGTACCGCCAGATAGTATTCTGACTTTTAATCCCTAAAAAAATACATCACGGATAGAACAATAACACACGATGTTTCCTGTGAATATATACATACCAACGTATTTGTTAATTGGAAGCTAATTATAGTATATATATCTTGTATATCGAACTTTTTATTTATTTAGAGTTTTGGTTTGAACTAAGAGCCCTGAAGGTACCTGTATAGTTTTTAATAGCCTGTTTATAGTACTTAAAGGTAGAGGGGACCATGTTTTGCAGCTATCCAAAAAGTAACCGATCAATATTATCGTTGGAAAGCTCACTTGGTTTAAAGATAGTAATGGCACTAAAACTCCCTGTGAATTATTCCTTGTGGCATGCTGTCATTTTGAAGAAAACATTGAAAGAAGGGCATTTCCAAAGATGTGTCAAGTGACACACATGCGCGCGCGGCTGCTATGGCTGTGTCCGAATTACTTGACTGCGGCTGGAAATAACACACGAGTTGATGGTAGTGGCTGCAGCCACTTGCCATATACCCGTGTGTAATTTCAAGTCAGAGCCAAGTAATTCGGACGTGGCCTATTATCGGTTCAGTGTGTGACATCACGTAGCTACAATCGGCTGAATGAGAATGCTGATTTCGGGATTGTGTCACGAGAGGGCGCAATTCAAAATATGACTTGGCAATTTTGAACTGAAGACGAGATCCAAGATATTGTGTTTTCTCGAAATATACAGCATTCACAGAGCTAAAACTTCATTGGGTTAGTTGATAAGGAACCGGTCTTTAGATTTTGAGCACTTTTTTTGCTTCAAACGAAAAAGAAAGCACAAATGACATATGAATCGGTAGATTTTGCCCTTCACCAACGTAGTAACACTGTATACTCAGTGTGTTACCTCTCCTGCTTTCTAGTGCAGACGTCTTACCACTCGACCACTGAGCTTGCGGGATCGGTTAGCTGGTTCGAAGGGCAAAACCTTATACTGATTTACATCACCCCGACGCAAATGAAATAAATGACAACATTTGGGTCCAAATATGCGAGCTCCTTTGGTTGCAATAATGTTCTCCCGGGCTTTTTTCAAAAGACATGTTTGATTAACACTCTTTGAAGCCTTCATTTAGAGAATATTTGGAACTCGTTAAACGGGTTTTGTAAGGACATACGTATATATTATGTTTACAAATAACTATTAACATGGATGTTTGAACAGTTAGGACCACTAAGGCCAAAAAAAGTCTCCGGTTTCTGGTATGGAGCTTGCCCAAAAAGTGGTACGGCGACGCGTTTTTTTTTTGTTTTTTTACCGTTTTTTTCTTTAAATGTCGGCTGTTGACTGTAAATGGTGCCCGACTAAACTTAGTGCAAATATATGGGAGTCCAGAGAGGCCATATAAACCTTATACTCGATCGTAACCCCATCTAAAAACACGTTAAAATTGTGCAGCAGCAGGATTCCAGTCAAACCAGTGTGTTTGGCGGTTTTGAGACATCATCTTTCATTGAATTTTTTTTTTTCATTTTGCCGACGCGCATGGCTATGGCGACGCGCGCATACCAGAAACCGGAGACTTTTTTTTGGCCTAATCGAAAGTGGATGACGATATCCAATCCAAGCAAAATCCGCGTTGTGATTGGTTAACCTTTCAGCACTCTTACTTTTGCATAAAACAATTGAATAATTCAACAAAATCAAGGTAGAAAAGGCCTCGTGGCTTCGCCTCGTGCGCGCTGAATCTTCGCTCCAGCCGCTCACAGCTTCGCCGCTTTAAGCCACGATGGTCTTGGCGAAAGGCTAGGTGGACACGAACAAATAATGGAAGGTTTGCGGTAACACCATGTGAATGATTTGTCTCTTGAGTTGTATGGTTCTGAGAAGAACCAGTTGTTTTAACTGTTTTAACTTGGTTATAATCTTTGTGCCGAAAGAAGCAAATGAATGAACTCATCATTTTTGGTCACGTTTTTATCACAACAACTGTAGACCTATTAACATACTATTTTCGGCCAATCAACATCCGCTTTGTCAATGTAAAGTTATATAGGGCACCTTAAAAAAGATACAATTGCATTGAACCTAAATGTTGCTTTTAGATTAGTGTTTATATCGCGCATATATAATGTACACACAGGCTATTGCATTATCGCTTTAATAACACATTACAAAAAAGCCTGCTGTTTGATAATTGTTTTTAAAATACAGACACTTCACTCAATTCGATTGAACTGTTCTTTATTTTAATGAGTATTTCCTCTTGTTTAAGTAAAAATGTAAAACAATTTAAATTTCTGTTAAAGTGATACATTAATAAGTCATGAGCATCGCATGCTGCTCATTAGAAACTGTTTATAGCTCTAGATAAGTCATATGAACATTGTAAACAACTGAAACGGCCTTTTACCCTTTTTTCAGCAAAGGAATTAGCTGGTGTGTTTACAAGAACGAACCTTACACATGAAGTTACTGTCGCCATGCTAGAAAGTCTCAGTGAGATAATGCTGAGCATGCCGACTCGAAGCCGCCATGATTTTGGTCAATAAGAAATAATTGAAGAAAAACACGCGAAACAGACCGCGCTCCTAAGCTGCGAGTGTTTATTTCAAAATTAAAAACTAAAGCGGAGATGTTGAGGGCCAATGGTAATTTGTTACCAGGAATGTATCCGTTAAATGTTTTCGTCCACGAATAAATTCAATTCTAGCCGGTCCTAACACCTCTGTGTTTACATGGACATAGCTAGGCCTGCATGGACCATTCACAATGGCATTTTTACTTTGATGGCCATTCCGCGGTTTCATTATTTTGTGTTATTTTATTACTGTACTGATGGATTCAGAATTTGATCGAATCATGCACGCACGCCCTAAATCATACTCATGTTTCTCTCTAACGACTTCTGATTAGAACCACCGATGTCAATATTTCAAAGTGTGTAATAAATCTCAGCTGTATTGACTTTCTTAATACCAAAACGTTGCGCTAGCGATTCTCGACTTAATAATGATTCGGTTATGGATTATGGTAAAAAAAAATACACGCAAAACATACCGCGCTCCTGTGACGTTTTCATTAGACCATTAACCCTAACTCCCTAGGGGGTTTGCAAAATCATATTGAAATTGGAGGATTCAGGACTGTTAGGGCTAAAGGAACATGGGAACATCTGCCTTTTGTGCATTTCTGATTTTTGTTTGAAACAACAAAATTGCCAAACATCATAAGAACGGTGCATATACAGAGAGAACGTGTGCAGTTTTTGGTGTCTTAACTGGATTTCGATGCCAACTCACGTGGAAATCTGTGCCCTCGGACACAGATTTCTAAGAAAACCTTCAATGATTGTTTTCTTCCGAATGACACCATTTCAGACGGAATAGTTTAATAGGGTGTTTGGTACCAGTCCTATCTTCACTTTCAGCAAAGATCTCTCGTTAAATCGTATAGATACGTCTTCGGTTATTGCAAATAACCGAAGTGGTCACGCCAAAGATTAAGCAAGCGATCGGTAGATACATGTATATACATCTTCGGTTAGTTGCAAATAACCGTATAATGCAAGTGGTCTCGCCAAAGATTAAGCAAGCCTAAGATGTTTAAAAATTTGCGACCAGGAATGTTGCCGTCAATTTTTTTCACCAATAAAAAAAACTCCTACTTCAACGGTACGATGCTTTAGGCCTACATGGACAAGTTACATATGAACGTCTGTGTATTGCAGGCCGTTCAGTGCTTACTGCATGTGTGCTTTACTGCTTTACTGATAGATTCATTTTTGGCGAAACACGCACACCCTAAATCATAGGCCTACACAATCTTTACCTAATACTGTGATTATTATAACTACCAATGCCAAAATGCCACAGAATGTAACATATAACCTCTGCTGCAGTCAATTATCATTTCAAAACGTTGCGCCAGGAATGTTTTAATTAATGCCAATATGATTCGGCTAAAGCACTTAATATGGTCAAAAAATGCTCCAAGAATTCGTCCCTTGGAGAACGAGCAGGAAATCGCTGTATAAATACAAGGTTTTGTGACTGGGCGGTTAAAACCTCCGTCGATCGCAGTGACTCCTCCACGCTGGTATCAGACAGTCCTCTGCCGGACATAGTTGTATACTTCTTGAAACGGAAAACCTCGCTATTTCCATTGGAAAGAACCAAGTTCTTTTCGAGAAACGGAACACTGAGCTGTTACACCTCTACCTCAGCCTTATTCCCTGAATATTCCGACACTGGTCTCACGTTCTGGGAGCTGTTCTGTCTGAAGAATCAACCACGATGGCGTCACTGGTAAGGTTATTTTTCACCTGATTCGACTTTAATAGTCCAGTAAGAATTGACATGAAAAGTACCCCACCCTAACATATTAGTTAACCGATATTTTTACTCAAAAATCTTTATACGGTTGCCATGAACACACACAAGTTTCTCTAATCTCCTTTGTTTTTTATTATCAAATTCCCTACAGGTGAAAAGAAGGCCTACCGTTATGTTTCTTTTGATTCTGCTGCTTTGGCTCTCCAGCAGTCATTGTGTCGTCCAGGAGGAACCAACAGGAACAACTTGCTGCAGTGCTTGCTTCCAAGGACCGGCTGGAACACCAGGTGTTCCTGGAATCCCAGGAAATCCAGGTGGAATTGGGGTCCAAGGACCTCTTGGCCCCAAAGGTGACCTAGGGTTTGGCCTCCCTGGACCCAAGGGAGAGATCGGCCATCAGGGACGGAAGGGAGACCAAGGCGAGTCAGGGATGGTGGGACCTCCGGGGAAGCAGGGACCTGCGGGTCGCAAAGGAGACATCGGTGAGGGGCAGAAAGGTGACCAGGGGGAGCAAGGGCTCCAGGGACCGTCAGGACCGCCTGGTGAACAGGGGCAACAGGGCCAGCCAGGAGGAGCTTCCTCGATTACCTCAATAGCTTCCTCTGCCATTGCTTTCAGCGCTGACCTCACGACAAGTTTCACAGGTGACAATGGTGATATCATCATCTTTGACAATATCGAGACGAATATGGGCGATGGGTACGATTCGCAATCGGGCGTGTTTTCCTGCTCGATTCCCGGTGTCTACTTCTTCACGACCAGCCTGCAGAGACTCTCATCATCAACGCGTCCTCACGTGTTCCTGAAAAAGAACGGGGCGCGTATCTTTGGGATCTATGACTCACATGATAATTACTATCATCAGTCCAGCAATTCAGCAGTTCTTGTTTTGGCCACAGGGGATAGAGTCTGGCTTGCGTTTGGCAGCAGCAACAGAGGTATTTATGGCGATTCTAGCAACAAATATTCTTTCTTCTCCGGCTTTCTGATCCATGAAACCTAAAAGTGTGGAAAGACTTCACTTGAATATTTCCATATTCGACCTGCTGTTGCTTGCATTGCAGAGGAGTAGTTCTTTGCTACATCATTTCTCCTATGGACTGATATAACAGAAAATGCCTTCCTGCTCTTTCAAAATTAATACTTCCAGAGACAGTACCGCAGATAATATTCTGACTTTCTAATCACTTTAAAACCGCAGCACGGATAGAAAAATAATACACGCGGATGTTTCTTGTTAATAATATTAAAAAAACTTATTTGCTATATGGAAGCTACTTACGTAAACAAGTAGTATATATCTTGCATATCGAATTTTTTTTTGATTTACAGTTTGAATCGAACTCAGAACCCTGAAGGTATAGTATTTAATGGCCTGTGTATAATTCTTAAAGGTAGAGTGAACCATTTGCAGATATCCAAAAAGTAACCGACCAAATTATTGCTTTAAGAAAGCTTACTTGTTTTAAAGAAAGTAATGACACTGAACTCCCCGTGAAATTATGCCTTGTGGAATACTGTTATTTTGAAGAAAACAATAAAAAAAAGGTCATTTCCAATGATGTGTCAAATGACACATTTTTGGAAATTTCCGTTGTAGTTAGTTTGTAACTGCATTGGCTATTCCGTGCATGCAACGCATATGCGACGCCATGGCTGTGTCCGAACTTAGTTACCTGTGTGTAGTGTCAAGCCATAGCCAAAGTAATTCGGACATGACCTATCATTCATCGATACAGTGTGTGACATCACGTAGCTGTCGGCTGAATGAGAATCATTTCCCGAAGGCTGATTTCGGAATTGTGTCACGAGCGGGGGCAATTCAAAATATGATATAATATATAGTATAATATTGTGTTTTCTTGAAATTTACAACATTCACACCCGTCTTTAGATTTTGATCACTTTTGCTGCTTCAAACGAGCAAATAATCACAAAAGTCAATTGGTCCATTCAACCTTTATTATGCGAGCTCCTATAAGCCCTAATAGTTGCAATTACACGGTTGCAATAACGTTCTCCTCTCTCATGAGAGATAGACTTCTTTGAAAATACATGTTTATAACACAAACCAGTTTTTGTAAGGACGTATAATGTTTACAAAATAATTCATAACATGAATCTTTGACTGAAAAATAGAACCACAAATCAAAAGTGGATGACGATTATATCAAATCAACTTTGCTTGAACATTTCTGCATTCTTAGGTCTTATGTTCGTTTTTTTTCAACATATTTTGTTCTTGCAAACAGCTGATTTGAAATCAAAAGTTTCATACAATCTGTCATTTCTCAATTCGATGATTACTTATTCGCTATAATATATGATTTGCCTTCGCCTATTTCTGATATCTTTGATGTCTCATTACAACCAAAGTATAGTGGGTTTATCCATTGGTACGTTCCAGCTACGTGAACGTGTTTGCACTCGTTATATAGCTAGGCCCTGCGTCCTGCGAACGTGTTAAATGGACGGTCGCTATAATGAGCTTACAATCCTCGAAAACAAATTGTGACTGGGAGCGAAATGTTGCCGGCAATATAATGAACCTACTGCGAATATGGGAAACGAACAGTTTCAGCTCCAACGTTCATTAACTGTGTAGGCATTTCGGAGAACATATAGCAAAGGAAAATACCGTTCCCGACAGAAGCTGTAACGTCATTAGTGTCAGCATTAACCAAGCCCACTTTACAAGGTCGGCTCTTTCAGACAAATTTCACTTCATGAGAAAGTATATTATTATGAGACTTGTAGGTTTGCATGGTGGAAATGAAAACATAATGGAAGGTTTGCGGTAATACCATGCGAATAATATCTCGTTTGAGTAGTGTGGTTCTGAGAATTGAGAACCAGTTATTTTGACTGTGTATTATGGTTTTAACTAGGTTATAATATTCAAGAGTGTAATGACTTGCGAAGTTTTCTGCACACTGATTAATCTAACCTTTGTGTCGAAAGAAGCACACGAATGAACTTATAATGTTTGGTTACGTTTTTTCACAACAATTGTAGCAATGTAGACCTATTAACATACTATTTTCCGCCTTATCAACATCCGCCTTGTCAATGTAAAGTTATACAGGACACCTCAAAAGAGATACCAGCAATGTATTTTTTGCATTGAAGATAAATGTTGTTTTTAGATTGGTGTTTATATCACGCATATAATGTACACACAGGCTATTGCATGATCGCTTTAAAAACACATTACAAAAAAGCCTGCAGTTTGAAAATTGTTTTTAAAATACAGACACTTCACTCAATTCGATTGAACTGTTCTATATTTTAATGAGTATTTCCTCTTGTTTAATTAAAAATGTAAAACAATTTAAACTTCTGTTAAAGTGATACATTAATAAGTCATGAGCATCGCATGCTGCTCATTAGAAACTGTTTATAGCTCTAGAGAAGTCATATGAACATTGTAAACAACTGAAACGGCCTTTTACCCTTTTTTTCAGCAAAGAAAATAGCCGATGTGTTTATAAGAACGAACCTTACACATGAAGTTATTGTCGACATGCTAGAAAGTGTCAGTGAGATAATGCTGAGCATGCCGACTCAAAGCCGCCATGATTTCGGTCAACACGCGAAACAGACAGCGCTCCTAACCTGCTACTTTAAATTTATGAGAGTGTTTATTCCAAAACTAAAGCTGAGACGTTGAGGGACAATGGTAATTCATGACCAGGAATGTATCCATTAAATTCAATTCTAGCCGGTCCTAACACCTCTGTGTTTACATGGACATAGCTAGGCCTGCATGGACCATTCACAATGGCATTTTTACTTTGATAGCCATTCCGTGGTTTCATTATTTTGTGTTATTTTATTACTGCACTGATGGATTCAGTAGTTGATCGAATCATGCACGCGCGCCCTAAATCATACTCATGTTTCTCTCTACACTGTAAATAATGTTGGATAAAACACTGTAGGGCAATGTAATTTACCCAGCATTGGCAAGAAATTACCTCATATTGGGTTGAAATGGGTAAAAACTGTCAAATTATTGGGAAAAATTTGCCCAAGAGTGTAGGCAGTTGATAATTCGACCAGCGTTGGTCGAATTATCAACGCATTTTGCCGAACTTTTTTTTTTTTTTTTTTTTTTTACAGTGTAACGACTTCTGATTAGAACCACCGATGACAATATTTCAAAGTGTGTAATAAACCTCAGCTGTATTGACTTTCTAAACACCAAAACGTTGCGCTAGCGATTCTCGACTTAATAATGATTCGGTTATGGATTATGGTAAAAGAATGCACGCGAAACATATCGCGCTCCTGTGACGTTTTCATTAGACCATTAAAGGAACATGGGAACATCTGCCTTTTGTGCATTTCTGATTTTTGTTTGAAACAACAATATTGCCAAACATCATAAGAACGGTGCATATACAGAGAAAACGTGTGCAGTTTTTGGTGTCTTAACTGGATTTCGATGCCAACTCACGTGGAAATCTGTGCCCTCGGACACAGATTTCTAAGAAAACCTTCAATGATTGTTTTCTTCCGAATGACACCATTTCAGACGGAACACTTTAATAGGGTGTTTGGTACCAGTCCTATCTTCACTTTCAGCAAAGATCTCTCGTTAAATCGTATAGATACGTCTTCGGTTATTGCAAATAACCGAAGTGGTCACGCCAAAGATTAGGCAAGCGATCGGTAGATACATGTATATACATCTTCGGTTAGTTGCAAATAACCGTATAATGCAAGTGGTCTCGCCAAAGATTAAGCAAGCCTAAGATGTTTAAAAAATTGCGACCAGGAATGTTGCCGTCAATTTTTTTCACCAATAAAAAAAACTCCTACTTCAACTGTACGATTGCTTGAGGCCTACATGGACAAGTTACATATGAACGTCTGTGTATTGCAGGCCGTTCAGTGAGTACTGCATGTGTGCTTTACTGCTTTACTGATAGATTCATTTTTGGCGAAACACGCACACCCTAAATCATAGGCCTACACAATCTTTACCTTATACTGTGATTATTATAACTACCAATGCCAAAATGCCACAGAATGTAACATATAACCTCTGCTGCAGTCAATTCAAAACATTTCAAAACGTTGCGCCAGGAATTCTCCAATTAATGCCAATATGATTCGGCTAAAGCACTTAATATGGTCAAAAAAATGCTCCAAGAATTCTTCCCCTGGAGAACGAGCAGGAAATCGCTGTATAAATACAAGGTTTTGTGACTGGGCGGTTAAAACCTCCGTCGATCGCAGTGACTCCTCCACGCTGGTATCAGATAGTCCTCTGCCGGACACAGTTGAATGCTTCTTGAAACGGAAAACCTCGCTATTTCCTTTGGAAAGAACAAAGTTTTGTTCGAGTAACGGAACAGTGAGCTGTTACGCCTCTACCGCAGCCTTTTCCCCTGGATATCCCGACACTGGTCTCACGTTCTGGGAGCTGATCTGTCTGAAGAATCAACCACGATGGCGTCGCTGGTAAGGTTATTTTGCAGCCGATTCGACTTAGTCCAGTCGAGGGCGGATCCAAGGGGGGGGGGCAAAGGGGGCCATGCCCCCCCCCCCCCCCCCCCCCCCCAAAAAAAAACGAAACCATTTTTTTTGTTTTTATGTGACATCGCAATAAAGGCAGGCAATGAGTACACCACCATCTTTTCCTCAAAGAAAACATTGGTTAAAGTGGTCAGAAGAAATTGCCTCAGATCGCACCACAGAGCATCTAGAATCCAATAAAAATTTCGGGGCCCTTGAGCGGGCCCCGAACCCCACGCCGTAATTTTTTTGACCCACTTTTTGGGGGGACCAAATTTTTTTTGCCCCCCCCAAAAAAAATTGTGTTCAGGATCCGCCCTTGAGTCCAGTAAGAATTGACATGAAAAGTACCCCAACAACCGATATTTTTACTCAAAAACCTTTATACGGTTGCCATGAACACACACAAAACTTATTGGTGTTTCCAAATGCAAACATTGTGTGCATGTGTGTCGGCAAATACACTTTAAAATGTCCCTGGTCATATTGACATATAGACATGGAATCCGGGTTCTATTTGCCCTTACCCTTTCCGGCCACAATGACAGTTTTCAGGGTAACAAAGTGACACTTTTTCTGGTCATTTTTACCCGGAAACCTTGGGGGAAATTTCAAAATTATTTTGACCCGCAAAAGTATCATTTTGACCCGGAAAAGGGCAAGGCCAATTAGAACCCGGATTCCAGGTCGCGTATTTTGTTTTTGCAGCATACATCGTCTTTGTAACCAATCACATCACGCACCCTAACATGAATATTTATCACGCTGTGTGGATGGAAGACACTGAGGTTCTCGTGTTTTTTTTCCCCCTTCAATTAAACTTATCCCAACCAACAAAGAAATATTTGATGAAAACGGGCATGGGCTCGAACCACAGATATTGCGTTTTATAGTTCACTGTACTATCCACTAGGCCACAGTCTGTGGCAGCTCGACTAAAGCCGTCATTTGAAATGCTTGAATGTACATGTCTGAGTGATAGCAATAGTGTGACGGCATTGTTATTTCCTTATGAATTAACATCGAACTAGCTGAATAATCATGATCCATTGACGATGCGTACTGCAAATAAAAACACCGCTTCCGGCGTGAGGCCAAACAAAAAAGTATCCGGTTTTTGGTATGCGCGCGCGTCGCCGTAGCCATGCGCGTCGGCAAAATGATTTTTTTTTTCAATGAAAGATGAGGTCTCAAAACCGCCAAACTCACTGGTTTGACTGGACTCCTGCTGCTGCACAATTTTAACGTGTTTTAATATGGGGTTATGATCGAGAATAAGCTTTATGTGGCCTCTCTGGACTCCCATATATTTGCACTAAGTTTAGTCGGGCATCATTTGCAGTCATCAGCCGACATTTGAAGCAAAAAAAAACAGGTAAAAAAAAAAGCAGCGTCGCCGCACCACTTTTTGGGCAAGCTCCATACCAGAAACCGGAGACTTTTTTTGTTTAGCCAGGGATTTTTTTTTTATTAAGAGTGTATGCCGGTGTAGCGTGAATATCCGACTCCATGAAATATGGACTCATTGGTAGTATTGCGCATGCCTAAGTACGATAATATACTATTTTTAGGATCATATATGGGACAGTGACCTGTCACGTGCGAGGGATTAACCAATAATAGGGAAATGGAGTCCGATTTCATATAACACCGTAACGAGTAGCGCCACCTTTTACCCACTGACCGGTAGCGTATAAGATCGTCCGCTTTGAGCAGTCATGGTGTCGCACCACGCTTTTTGATTTGGCGACGTTCGGGTGACGAAACAATTCCTGGCATATACCTTCCAGCACGGAGGGTCTGCACTCTGCAAATCACTGGAAAAGAGTTAGGCCAGATAGAACACGGTCAATCTGTCCAAGGACTTTTTAGAGCGTCTTGCCAAATTTACTGACGCACCGCATTCAAATCGGTCTGGCAATGCCCCTGTCCCAAGTTCTGTATACAGGCAATATCAGGGATATTTTGGACTACTGCATGCACTAGTCTTGTTTATGTTTCTCTAATCTCCTTTGTTTTTTATTATTATCAAATACCCTATAGGTGAAAAGAAGACCTACCGTTATGTTTCTTTTGATTCTGCTGCTGTGGCTCTCCAACAGTCATTGTGTCGTTCAGGAGGAACCAACAGGAACAACTTGCTGCGGTGCTTGCTTTCAAGGCCCAGCCGGAACACCAGGCGTTCCTGGAATCCCAGGAAATCCAGGTGGAATTGGGATCCAAGGACCTCTTGGCCCCAAAGGTGACCCTGGGTTTGGCCTCCCTGGACCCAAGGGAGAGACCGGCGACGAGGGACAGAAGGGAGATCGAGGCGAACCAGCGTTGCAGGGACCTCCAGGGAAGCAGGGACCTGCGGGTCGCAACGGAGACATGGGTGAGGGGCAGAAAGGTGACCAGGGGGAGCAAGGGGTCGAAGGACCGCAAGGTCCTTCTGGTGAAAAGGGGCAAAAGGGCCAGCCGGGAGATGCTACATTGATTACTCCCTCTGCCGTCGCATTCAGCGCTTACCGTACGACAAGTGTCACAGGTGGTGGCGATGTCATCATCTTTGACAATATTGAGTCCAATGTGGGCGATGGGTACGATTCGCAATCGGGCGTGTTTTCATGCTCGATTCCCGGTGTCTACTTCTTCACAACCAGCCTGCAGAGAATCGAATCATCAGTGCATCCTTACGTGCACCTGAAAAAGAACGGGGAGCGTATCTTTGGGATCTATGACTCTCATGGTTACCGTCATCAGTCCAGCAATTCGGCAGTTCTTGTTTTGGCCACAGGGGATAGAGTCTGGCTTGAGTTTGGCAGCGGTAACAGAGGTATTTACAGCGATAGCAACAAGTATTCTTTCTTCTCCGGCTTTCTAATCCATGAAACCTAACGCAAGTGTGGAAAGACTTCACTTGAGTATTCCTGTTTTTGATCTATACTGTTGCTTGCATTGCAGAGGAGAACATCATTTTCTCCCTATATGGACTGATATAACAGAAAATGCCTATCTTGCTCTTCAAAAATTTATACTACCAGAGACAGTACCGCCAGATAATATTCTGACTTTTAATCGCTAAAAAAATACATCACGGATAGAACATTAACACATTGATGTTTCTTGTGAATGTATACATATCAACGTATTTGTTATGGAAGCTAATTATAGTATATATCTTGTATATCGACCTTTTTTTATTTAGAGTTTTGGTTTGAACTAAGAGCCCTGAAGGTACCTGTATAGTTTTTAATAGCCTGTGTATAATACTTAAAGGTAGAGTGGACCATTTTGCAGCTATCCAAAAAGTAACCGATCAATTATCGTTGGAAAGCTCACTTGGTTTAAAGTTAGTAATGACACTAAACTCCCTGTGAGTTTTTCCTTGTGGCATGCTGTCATTTTGAAGAAAACATTAAAAGAAGGGTATTTCCAAAGATGTGTCAAGTGACACACATGCGCGCGCGGCTGTTATGGCTGTGTCCGAATTACTTGACTGCGGCTGGAAATTACACACGAGTTTATGGTAGTGGCTGCAGCCACTTGCCATAGACCCGTGTGTAATTTTAAGCCATGGCCAAGTAATTCGGACGTGGACTATTATCGGTTCAGTGTGTGACATCACGTAGTTACAATCGACTGAATGAGAATGCTGATTTCGGATTGTGTCACGAGAGGGCGCAATTCAAAATATGACTTGGCAATTTTGAACTGAAGACCAGATCCAAAATATTGTGGTTTTTCTCGAAATATACAGCATTCACAGAGCTAAAACTTCATCAGGTTAGTTGATAAGGAACCGGTTTTTAGATTTTGAGTACTTTTGTTGCTTCAAACGAAAAAGAAAGCACAAAATTAATGACAAATGAATCGGAAGATTTTGCCCTTCACCAACGTAGTAACACAGTATACTCAGTGTGTTACCTCTCCTGCTTTCTAGTGCAAACGTCTTACCACTCGACCACTGAGCTTGCGGGATCGGTTAGCTGGTTCGAAGGGCAAAACCTAATACTGATTTACATCACCCCGACGCAAATTAAATAAAATAATGACAAAATTGTGGTCCAAATATGCGGGCCTCTTTTGGTTGCAATAATGTTCTCCTTTTTTGAAAAGACATGTTTGATCAACACTCTTTGAAGCCTTAATTTAGAGAATATTTTGAACTCGTTGAACGGGTTTTGTATAAGGATGTACGTATATATTATGTTTACAAATAACTCTTAACATAGATCTTTGAACAGTTAGGACCACAAAGGCCAAAAAAGTCTCCGGTTTCTGGTATGGAGCTTGCCCAAAAAGTGGTGCGGTGACGCGTTTTTTTTTTTTTTTTTTTTTTTTTTTTTACCGTTTTTTCTTTAAATGTCGGCTGTTGACTGCAAATGGTGCCCGACTAATTTTAGTGCAAATATATGGGAGTCCAGAGGCCACATAAAGCTTATACTCGATTGTAACCCCATCTAAAAACACGTTAAAATTGTGCAGCAGCAGGATTCCAGTCAAACCAGTGTGTTTGGCGGTTTTGAGACATCATCTTTCATTGAAAAAAAACCTTTTTCATTTTGCCCACGCGCATGGCTACGGCAACGCGCGCGCATACCAGAAACCGGAGACTTTTTTTTGGCCTAATCGAAAGTGGATGACGATATCCAATCAGGTTTGCTTGAAAATGTTTGCTTTCCAACTTCAACTTGTCAAGAATTTCTAATGTTTTTCTTTATAATCTCGATTTTTGCTACTTAAAGGATAGCAAAATTCCAACCAATCATAAGTCTTTTAGGACGCGCGTGGCTTCTGTCCGGACGCGCGCACCGTATGCGCGCGCGCGCCCCGGATACTGGAACTTAATTTAAAAAAAAAAAATTAAAAATTGGGAGTCTATTTCTAATTCTGCCCGAGATCCTGTCAGTGTCATTGTTCTTTCATTATCTTATTATAATTTTGCTTATAAAAGTATTTCAAGATATTATTTGAGTGTATGAACTTAATGTTTGATCTGAACTTATTTTTTAGTTATTTCCTCTTACGATTTCCATATTAACTCACCTTTCTTTCACAAATAACCGCAACTAGGCAAAATCCGCATTGTGATTGGTTAACCTTTCAGCACTCTACTTATTTGCATAAAAACATTGAATAATTCAACAAAATCAAGGTAGAAAAGGCCTCGTGGCTTCGCTTCGTGCGCGCTGAATTACTCTTCGCTCCAGTCGCTCACAGCTTCGCAGCTTTAAGCCACGATGGTCTTGGCGAAAGGCTAGGTGGACATGAACAAATAATGAAAGGTTTGCGGTAACACCATGTGAATGGTATGTCTCTTGAGTTGTATGGTTCTGAGAAGAACCAGTTGTTTTAACTGTGTATTTTGGTTTTAACTTGGTTATAATCCTTTTGCCGAAAGAAGCAAACGAATGAACTCATCATTTTTGGTCACGTTTTTATCACAACAACTGTAGACCTATTAACATACTATTTTCCGCCAGTCAACATCCGCATTGTCAATGTAAAGTTATATAGGGCACCTTAAAAAAGATACAAGCAACGTAATTTTTTTGCATTGAACATAAAATTTGTTGTGTTTAGAGTGTTTATATCGCGCATATAATGTAAACAAAGGTTATTGCATGATCGCTTTAAAAACACATTACAAAAAAGCCTGCTGTTTGAAAGTTGTTTTTCAAATTATAGACACTTCGCTCAAATCGATTGAACTGTTCTATACTTTATGAGTATGTCCTCTTGTTGAAATAAAAATGTAAAACAATTTAAACTTCTGTTAAAGTGATACATTTATAAGTCATGAGCATGGCATGCTGCTAATTAGAAAATGTTTATAGTTCTAGATAAGTCACAACTAAAACGACCTTTTACCGTTTTGTTCAGCAAAGGAATTAGCTGATGTGTTTACAAGAAGAACCTTACACATGAACTTACTGTCGACACGCTAGAAAGTCTCAGTGAGATTATGCTGACCATGCCGACTCGAAGCCGCTATGATTTTGGTCAATTTGAAATAATTGAAGAAAAACACGCGAAACAGACCGCGCTCCTATAAGCTGCGAGTGTTTATTTCAAAATTAAAAACTAAAGCGGAGATGCTGAGGGCCAATGGTAATTTGTTACCAGGAATGGATCCGTTAAATGTTTTCGTCCGCGAATAAAAACAACTCAATTCAATTCTAGCCTGTCCTAACACCTCTGTGTTTACATGGACATAGCTAGGCCTGCATGGACCATTTACAATGGCATTTGTACTTTGATGGCCATTCCGCGGTTTCATTATTTTGTGTTATTTTACTACTGTACTGATGGATTCAGTATTTGATCGAATCATGCACGCGCGCCCTAAATCATACTCATGTTTCTCTCTAACGACTTCTGATTAGAACCACCGATGGCAATATTTCATAGTGTGTAATAAACCTCAGCTGTATTGACTTTCTAAATACCAAAACGTTGCACTAGCGATTCTCGACTTAATAATGATTCGGTTATGGATTATGGTAAAAGAATGCACGCGAAACATATCGCGCTCCTGTGACGTTTTCATTAGACCATTAAAGGAACATGGGAACATCTGCCTTTTGTGCATTTCTAATTTTTCTTTGAAACAACAAAATTGCCAAACATCTTAGGAACGGTGCATATACAGGGAAAACGTGTGCAGTTTTTGGTGTCTTAACTGGATTTCGATGCCAACTCACGTGGAAATCTGTACCCTCGGACACAGATTTCTAAGAAAACCGTCAATGATTGTTTTCTTCCGAATGACACCATTTAAGACGGAATACTTTAATAGGGTGTTTGGTACCAGTCCTATCTTCACTTTCAGCAAAGATCTCTCGTTGAATCGGTAGATACATGTATATACATGTACATCTTCGGTTAATTGCAAATAACCGTATAATGCGAGTGGTCTTGCCAAAGATTAAGCAAGCCTGTAAAGATGTTTAAAAATTTGCGACCAGGAATGTTGCCGTCAATTTTTTTCACCAATAAAAAAATCCTACTTCAACTATACGATTGCTTTAGGCCTACATGGACAAGTTACATATGAACGTCTGTGTATTGCAGGCCGTTCAGTGATTTACTGCTTTACTGATAGATTCATTTTGGGCGAAACACGCACACCCTAAATCATACACAATTTTTGCTTCCTGTTTACAACTATACCGACGACAAAATGACACAACTTGTAATACTCTGTTGCATTGAATTATCGTGCCAAAACGTTGCGCCAGGAATTCTGGAATTAATGCCAATATGATTCGAAAAATGGACTAGATATAGTCAAAATATGTTCCAAGAATTCGTCCACCGAAGAGCTAGCAGGAAGCCGCTGTATAAATACAAGGTTTTATGATTGGGCGGGTAAAACAGCTTCGAATGCACTGACTCTACGATGGTATTAGACAGTCCTCTGCCGGACACAGTTGAATACGGAAAATATCGCTACGGAAAGAACCATGGTTTCTTCGAGTAACGGAACACCGAGCTGTTACGCCTCTACCGCAGCCTTTTCCCCTGGATATCCCGACACTGGTCTCAAGTTCTGGGAGCTGATCTGTCTGAAGAATCAACAACGATGGCGTCTCTGGTAATTTTTGTTTTTACAAAATATTTGTTTACGAAGACTAATTAAAAAACACAAATTGGTGCTAAAACCCGAGTAATATGTGTTTAAAATTACACTTTTAGTAAAATCTGCACCAGGTCCTATTCTACTGAGAAGAATCAAACCTTTTCTATGTGAAAAAAAAAATGTTTCCCCGGAACAACCCAGGGAAACCCAATTTTTTTCCAGATGAAAAAGGTAGCCATATTTTCATTTTAAAAAGTGGGGCAAGTACTATCGCACAGTAGGTGACACTATTCGAGTGTCCCCCGCAGCGTAA